TTCCATTCTCCCTTCTAGAATGGTTTTCCTTACCTGCATCATTGCCTTCCGGGACTTCAGCTGGGCCACGCTGCTGCAGCTCTGATCATCGCTTCCTCCCTTCCTCTTCTTCCAAGAGCAGCATCGGCGTGAACAGTGATAAATCTGCCTCCGAACGGCGCTCCAGCTGTTGGGGATGGCACCAGCTATTGTGGTTTCAGTACTCAGCTCAAAAGACTTTGTTTATTTTATGATTTCTTCATGGACTCGTGGGTTATTGAAAAGTATGTTCAAAATCTGGGGCCTTTATGGGTCTTCCTGGTACTGATGTCTGCGCTAACTCGTCCAAGTGGGAAGATTCATTCTGTGTGATCTCAGTGCTGCAAATTTTTTGAGGTTCTCATGGCCCAGCATAGAGTCTATTTGGGGGATTTTCCCAGGGTTTGTTTTTGTTTGTTGCATTCCACAAATGCTAATTAGGTTGAGCTGGCTGAGAGTGTTCCTGTGTTCTATTTTTTTTTTTTTTTTTGTCACGCAGAGTTAGTGAGAGAGTTATAGACAGTGAGAGAGAGACAGAGAGAAAGGTCTTCCTTCCATTGGTTCACTCCCCTAATGGCCGCTACGGCTGGCGCTGCGCCGATCCGAAGCCAGGAGCCAGGTGCTTCCTCCTGGTCTCCCATGTGGGTACAGGTGCCCAAGCACTTGGGCCATCCTCCACTGCCTTCCCGGGCCACAGCAGAGAGCTGGCCTGGAAGAGGAGCAACCGGGACAGAACCTGGTGCCCATAAGGGATGCTGGCGCCACAGGTGGAGGATTAGCCAAGTGAGTCATGGCGGCGGCCACTTTTTTTAAAACTTATCTTTTAATTCTATTTTCCACAAACTTTAAAGCTATATATTACATTTGTAGGCATAGAGAGGCAAAGAGAAAGAGAGAGCACATGCATTAGAGTACTTGCATCAGCAGGTTCACTCCCCAAATGCCCTCAACCTTCAGGGCTGGGCCAGGCTGAAGCCAGAAGCCTAGAATACAGCTGTGTCTCCCACGCGGTGGCAGGGGCACAAGTGCTTGAGCCATCACCTGCCGCCTGCCAGGAGCATTAGCAGGAAGCTGGAATGGAGGGCAGGGCTGAGGCTTGAACCCAGGCGCTCCGATCTGGGACGCAGGTGTCCCACGCTGTGGCTTAACCATGGGCCAAACCCCTAGCCCTCGTCTGGATTCTTAATCAGCTTGAAATCCTGCTTGATCTGTCATTAAAAGAGGCGTGATGAAGTCTGCAGCTCTGCTTGTAAGCCTGTTTCTCCTTCTAGTCCTGTTAAATTTGCTTCCTGCATTTAAAACTCTAGTAGGATGTAGATAATAATTTAGGACTATTATGTCTTCCTGACACACTGACCCTCTTGTCTTTGGGAAGTGTCCCTTTTGTCTCTAGCCAGCCTGCTTGCGATTTTTCTCCACGCCACTTAGTGCGAAAGTTCATGATAGCTGATTTTCCTGATGGTTGCCTGATTGTGAGGGCCACGGTTGGTTCAGCCTCACACTCACGATGTGCCTTAAGCTTTTGGGTCTAAAAATAAGAGGTGTTTTTTCTTTGAGATGGAGACAGCTGAAGGAGGGAGAGAATCTAGGGAGAATGAACCAGAACTCAGCTGTAGACGTTATGTTTGAGATTCTTTTTTTTTTTTTTTAAAGATTTATTATTTGGGGGCCTGTATTGTGGTGTAGTGGATAAAGCAGCCGCCTGAAATGCTGGCATCCCATATGGCCACCAGTTCAAGTCCTGGCTGCTCCACTTCCCATCCAGCTCCCTGCTAATGTGCCTGGGAAAGAAGAGGAGGATGGCCCAAGTCCTTGGGCCCCTGCACCCATGTGGGAGACCCAGAAGAAGCTCCTGGCTTTGGACCAGCCCAGCTCTGGCTGTTGTGGCCATTTGGGGAGTGAGCCACCGATGGAAGATCTCTCTCTGTGTAACTCTTTCAAATAAATGAACGAATCTTTTTTAAAAAAAGAATTACTGTTTGAAGGGGGGGGGACAGGTGTCTTCCATCTACTGGTTCAGTACTGGGCCATCTTCTACTGCTTTCCCAGGCGCCTTAGCAGGGAGCTGGATCAGAAGTGGAGCAGTCAGGATTCCAACCAGTGCTCCTATGGGATGCAGGGTTGCAGGTGGCAGATTAAGCTGCTGCCCCACAACATTGGCCCTGAAGTTTGAGATTCTTTAGTCATTTAAACACAAGGGGGAGATCGAGTGTTTCCTGTGTGACAAGCACCGTTCCATACACCTTACATGTGCTGATGGGTGTAATGCCTGCAACAGCCCTCTAAGGAGGGTGCCAGCATTGCTCTCTCAGAGGTGGAAAACGGAGGCCCAGAGGGGTCAAATGCCTGGCAGGAGGCAATGCTGGGGGAGGCAGACTGTGCCGCCGAGGGGAGGCCAGCTCCGAGCCCCCAGGATGCTCTGGGAAGGGATGAAGACGAGCAGATGACTGGATTCTGGATCTGAGCTGCGTATCTGATCACAGTGCGTTACCACTCAGATTCTCCCACAGCTCTTAGCTTAAAGACCAAAATTCTTCATCTGCCCTGCAAAGTCCTGCCCAATTTAGCCCCTGCTCACTACCGTGGCCTACTGTGTCCAATCATCTCACTGGACTTCCCCTCCTTTGGTACGGTTGGTCTCTAAGGTTTTCCAAAGATACTGTGGGTTCTCATTCTCTAAGAACATGGCACATACTGTGCCCTAAGCTTGAAACTCTTTTTCTTTGCTGCATCAGACATCACCTCCACCAGGAAGCCTTCCCAGATGTTCTCACCTCGGTCAGGTTCTCCAGACTTGCATGCTCACGGCAATCTCTGATGCCTACACTCTTGGTGCTCCTGGTTGGAGCTGTGTCTTTTAGAATTTTAGACTCATCAAGGCCTGGGATGATGGTATCTTATTCATGTCTGTGTGCCTATTGACTACCAAAGAGCTTAGCACACACAATGCATGTGTCATAGAGTGGTGAACTACCTCCTTAAGACCCAGGAGTCAAACCAACAGCTCTGAGAGATACACCTCTCTCCAGGTCCAGAAACTCAGAATTTCTGTGAGGCTCACAGATTTTTCAAGGTGACCTTGGCCAACTTGAGAAAGTTGCCTTCCCTTCCCAGTTTGCTAAGGGATTTTTAAAAATTAGTCATTGAGGTTAGATTTTGGCAGTGCTTTTTCTGCCTCCTTTAAAAAGATATGTTTCTTTTTCTTTAGCAAACTTTTACAACGGCCTATTAACTGGGAAAATTTCATTGATTGATTTTCTAATGTTTAATCAACTTTGCATTTGTGAACAAGGTCACGATGCATTATGATTTTTGCATATTGGATTAAATTAAAATTTGGTTCAGAATGCTTATATGTTTGTTATAGGGTATAGTGATCTGCAGTTTTTATTATAATTTGTCTTTTAAAGATTTATTTGAAAGGCAGTTGCACAGATAAAGGACAAGACAGAGGGAGGTCTTCCATCTTTTGGTTCACTCCCTAAATGGCTGCAATGGCTAGGACTGGCCATGCTGAAGCCAGGAGCCAGGAGCTTCCTCTGGGTCTCCCATGGGGGTGCAGGGGCCCAAGCATTTGGGCCACCTTCTGCTGCTATCCCAGGCCATAGCAGGAAGCTGGATCAGAAGTGGAGCAGCTGGGACTTGACCGGCACCCATATGGGATGCCGGCACTGCAGACAGAGGTTTAACCCGCTGCTCCCCAACACCAGCCACATAACCTGCCTTGGTTGCAGTTTCAAGGTAAGGATAGCCTCATACAACTGGTTAAAATAGATTCCTTTCTCTTCAATTTTCTGGGAGAGTTTGTATATAACTGACAGTATTTCTTCCTTGTATTTGTAGAGCTCACCGGAGAAGTCGCCTGGGCCTGGAGTTCTCTCTGCGGGAAGGCTCCCGGCTGCAAAGTCAAGTTCCCGAGTGGATCCAGAGCCATTCCCATCGTGTTTATGAGAACATTCAAAATCATCTCACAGCTCAATCAAGTTTTGTGCCTCATTTGATAAGTCCTACTGCTGTGTCTTAGCGTTCACTGATCTCTTCTTCTTCCTTCTCCGTCTTCAGATTGGTGCAGCTCCAGCCGATATGGCCATCTGGGGAGTGAACCAGTGGATGGAAGACCTCTCTCTCTCTCTGTCTCTGCCTCTCAGGTAAATAAATAAAATCTTTTTAAAAACTCCATAGAAAAGGAAGGAGTCCGGGAATAGCTGGAGCAGGCAGCGGAACAGGAGAGCCATCGCTGCATCAGGGGAGCTGTGCGCTGGGTTGATTCTCCTCTTCTTTCTTGTCTGTGCTTTGAAAACCATAAAAAGAAAGCTAAGAATTTTGGGGTTCACAAGATCTCTTATCTCTGCCACGATGTGCAGCTCAGCTCGGGGTTGGGTGATCCCAAGAGCTGTGCACAAAGCCTTTGTCTCTTCCGACCACAGCTCAGTGCCCTTCACAGGTCACTCGGAGAGCGTGTGTGTACATGCACAGGTGTGGGTGCATGTGTGCAGATGTGTGTGCACTGGTGTGTGTGTGTGTGTGTGCACGTCCTCCTATGGCAAACAACAGAAAAACAGTGACTGCAAGGAGGTTTTCTTTGCTTCTTCAAGTGACTGCCTCCGGGCCTGGGAAGGGGGTCCTCTGTCCAGAGGCAGCGCAGACCCCCGCCCAGAGCGCCCTCTGGCGCCAAGCACAGGCACACCTGCTGTGTGTGGCTGAGAGAACGCGCACCTTTGTGCTCGTGGGTCTAAGACCGCAGCACCTGACGGTGAGAACTGCACGTTGTCCAGCGGATATCTCTTCAGAGCATCAGCAACAAGCAGAGGACGACAACAAAAGGGGGCGGCGTTGAAGCCACCGCCTCCCAGCTCTGGAGTCCTGAGAAAGCAGCGAGTTCTCCTGAACTCGTATGTTTATTCATACGTAAAATCACGTAACAGTCACGTAACCGACTCTGCAGGATTGCGGTGAGGATTTCACAGCAGTGTGCATAGTCTTGATTTCACTCGGAGCTGTAACACGGGAAAGGTGAGCCACGTTCCCGCCCCCCCCCGAGTTGGACTTCCTGGCATTTGCCCCGTGTCTCACAGGTGGCTTCTTGAGCTGAGCTGTCCTCGTCCTCCACCAGCATCTAAGTGAGTTAGGGCTCCCTCTCGGTGCTGAACACGTTCCTTTAACAAGTGTCTTTAATCCGGCTCTTCCTTCTTCCTGCCTGGAATGTTGCTGTGGTTCCTAGATGTGTGGCAGCCATCTTGTCACCATACAAGCTAGTGGGGCCAGAGCGGACTGCCCACTGTGTCCCCCTTGAGAGGGGACAGACTTTAGAACGTACTGCTCTTTGTTTCTAAACAAGAGAATAGGTGTGGACGGATAATAGTTCACTGACAAATGACCCATCTGGACAATGCACATACGGGCTCATGAAACTTTCCTCTTTAATTCTCTGTGTGTGAAACTTTTTCTAGCAACATCTTAAAAAAGAGAATTGAACTTGGACCCATTTTTCTGTTTTGGTATTGAGTCAGACTCCAGCTCTTAATAAAATCGTTAGAAGAATAACACACACTCATTTCCTTGGCAGAGTTCCCCTCAGCTGCCCCCATGCTTCTGCCACGGTGCTACTCCCCACCCCCACTCCGGGGGCCCGAGGTCAAATTGTCCACCATGTCAGAACATGGGTGCCATTTCTCTCCAGGGAAGATTTTAGAAAAGATCACGTTAGATGGCGTTCACTGGGTGAAACTCCTTGCCATTCCAAAACGTTCAATGACTGCTTAAAAACATTGTTTTTATTTACTTGAAAGGGAAAGAGAGAGAGAGAGAGAAAGACAGGAGAAAGACAGGGAGAAATCTTCCATCTGCTGGTTCAATCTCCAAATGCCTGGAACAGCCAGGGTTGGGCCAGGCTGCAGCCAGGAACCCATGACTCCATCCTTGGCTCCCACATGAGTGTCAGGGACTCAAGTACTAGAGCCATTATCTGCTGCCTTCCAGGGTTCACATTAGCAGGAATGCAGAATTGGTAGCAGAGCTGGAACTGGAACTCAGGCGCCCTGATATGGGGTCTGGGCACCCCTATGGCATCTTGACTAAACACCCACCCCAACTACTGCTTTTAAAAGCACACAGGCTGGCCAGCGCCGTGGCTCACTAGGCTAATCCTCCGCCTGTGGCACCAGCACACAGGGTACTAGTCCGGGTCGGGGCGCCGGATTCTGTCCCCCCAGTTGCTCCTCTTCCAGTACAGCTCTCTGCTGTGGCCAGGGAGTGCAGTGGAGGATGGCCCAGGTCCTTGGGCCCTGCACCCGCATGGGAGACCAGGAGAAGCGCCGTGGCCATTGGAGGGTGAACCAACGGTAAGGGAAGACCTTTCTCTCTGTCTCTCTCTCTCACTGTCCACTCCGCCTGTCAAAAACAAAACAAAACAAAACAAAAAGGCACACAGGCATGTAGGGGAGTTACTGGAGACATAAAACCTTTGCAGCTCGTCCTGAGAGGATGAGGATTCTTAACATCAGTGCCAGCTCCGGTGGACGTCCCATTCCCTTCTTCTCATTTCTATACCTCCTACTCCTCATGGGTGTGTTCCAGGATATATTTCTGAGATCTCACCCTTCCTGTTCTTGTCTAAACTTAGGACTCATGGGTATGAAATTGTTGCATGATTACTGCAGGCGGGCCAGGGAGAGACAGGGCTGGGTGCAGGTGGCTGAAGGGAGCGTGACTGTTTGCAAGATGTGCCCAGGCCCACCAACTCCAGGGAACCACAGGATGTAAAACGATCAGATCTGATTTCTGGAAGACCCTGCTGTGGTGTAACCAGCCAGAGACACCACACCGCCCTCTCCATCCAGCAGAAGCCCAACTGTTGGCCCCTTGCCAAGGAGTTTGCAGACTTACTCCCGTAATACTAGCTTGGAACAGAAATTGTACCACTAATGGCTGGATAACAAGAGACTGAACAGTTGCAATCTCTTTTCCAGTTCAGCAACAACAACAACAAGAATTATCCACATGCTTAATATCAGGTTATACGGAGACTGCCTTGTATTCATGATGTAGTCCTAGAATTGTTTTGTGATTGGTGGCAGGCTGACTGGCAGGAAGCAGTCTCATTTTGTCCACTCCTGGGAGTAGTACTGATGTTAGATATCTTTCCAAGTGCACTTGGAACATTCACAACACAGGTCCTACCCTGGATCACGAAAGAAATCGTGGCAAAGTTGGAGGAGTTGAACAGCACCCAGATGTGTTCTCTCATCGTGATGGAATCAAAGCAGACATCAGCAACAGACAGAAACAGCAAAGGTCCCCAACAGGTGAAAACTCAGACACGGCTGTGAATCATCTACAGACAGAGTCCCCCTCAAAGCCAACGGAAACTTCTGAACGGAGTAGCAATGAAAACCTGCGTGCAGCCAAGATCTGTGGATTCTCACCGAGCAGTGCGTGCGTGTCCTGGCCAGCATTAGCTGCCTCTAGGAGAGTGTTTCGAGTCCGTCATCTCAAATTCTGCAGCCAAAAGTGAGCAACAGAGCAAAATAAACCCAAAACAATTTTAAGGAAGGAAATAAAAGTAGATATCACTAAAACCTCACACAGAAAACAAGCAGCAAAAAAAAAAGCAATAAAGTTAAAAAATTGTTGCTGCAGAAGATGAGTAACACCAATGAAACTGTATCAGGATTGTAAAAAAAAAAAAAGCACCCAACTTGTCCTGGTTTACTGGGAACCTCCCAGTTTTAGCTCTCAGAGTATAACATCCCAGTCCTGAGAAAACCAGAACTGTTGGTCATCCCACAACAATTACCCAGCGATGCAAAGGGGGGCTTCATTACAGACCCTGCAAACATGTAAAGTGTGGAAGGAAACACCACAAGTAACTCTCTGTCCTTAAGCTCAGCAAGTCAGATGGAACGGACTCTTTCCCCAATACGACAAATTACCAAAAGCTCACCCTCGGTGAAACAGACACCCGCACAGCCCTGTCAGTGCCAAAGGAAGTGAATCCGGAACTCACATTCTGTAGAAGTCTCCAGGCCCCCATCACTCACTGGTAAATTCTAGCCATTGCTTTAAGAGGTTCAATTCTATAATAGCTACTCCAGGAAACAGAATAAGAAGGGACAGTTCCCAATTCATTATATGATGACTAAAGTTCCAATACTCATAAATATTCCAATAAAAGAGAAGCACAGACCCATATCCCTTGTGAACATAGATGCACACATTTTCAACAAGATATTAGTAAACTGAACCCAGTTCTTTCCCTCTCTTCCTTCTCTCTATGTACACACATTATATAAACATCATGGCCAAGTGGGTGTTAGCATGGAAATATAATAAGGCTGGTTCAACTTTCAAATAATCAATATGAACTGCCATAATGATAAGCTAAAGTTAAACCAAATGTACCAACTGATGCAGGAAAAGTTCGATGTTATTCAATATTCAGTCACAGTAAACATTGTCAGTGAGCCAGGGATGGATGGGGACATTTTCAATCTGATAAGAAAGCATCTACAATAAACCTACACCCGACACCATATTTCATGGTCAAAGAATAAATTGTTTTCCCTAAGGTTAGGAGCAAGACTGGGATATTCACTTTCCATACTGTTGGTCAACATTGTACTGAAAGTTAATGTAATAAGGAAAAACAAATGTGTAAGAAATAAAATGATTGCTACTCATCACGACATGATCAAGAAAATTCCAATCTACAAAAAGCAGAAAACCTCCAAGAATTGAGGGAACTCAGTGCTAACACAGGATTCAAGCTCAATTCACAACACCAGTCACAGTGTTGTGTACAGGTGGTCCCCACATGATGACTCACTCGGGACTTTTCCACTGTGTAGTAGAATGAAACTGAATAGGCACTCAGTAGCAACTGTGCTTCCACATTTTGAACTTGGACTCTTCCTGGGCTAGTAGCTAGTAGCATGCCGGAGTCTACTCGGTCCTGATGCTGGGTGGTGGCCACCAGCAGCACCCCTGGTCGGTCACATGACCATAAGGGCCAACAGCAGGCAGGGCAGCCTACAGTGTACTGTGTTGCTAGGCTACAATGTTTGGTAGGTGCTGTGATTTGAACAAGATTTTCTGAACACATGCAGGCATTTATACTTCAAAGTCATAAGCTTAGAAAGTAGAAAATCCAATTAAGTGGTTTAGGAGGTGGGCCTAGTGGGAGGTCCTGAGGAAGCTGGGGGCGCGCCCCCAGAGGTAATTCTGCAGGAGGGTTGGTTACAGAGGCTCAGGGCAGCCAAGGCTCTCTGCTTCCTGCCTCCCCCCGTGTTCCTCCTTCTGCAAGGGCTCTACCGTTGACATCTGCTGCCCACACCAGACACCCAGCCAAGGAGCAGCCCAATCTTGGACTTGAACCTCCAAAATGTGAGCTACATAAGGTTTTCCTTCATAAAGAGCTGTCTCACATGTTTCACTGGATTGCTGAAATGCTGACATGAACTAGGTGTAGTCAATGCATTGTTGACTTTTATTTTCAACTTATGACACGTTTGTCAGGGTGTAACTCACTTGGACATTGAGAGACAACAGCACTAAGAATAAATAACTGGAACTTAAAAATTAATACCTTTTACAATAGCTCAGAAGAGGGAGGGAGGGGAGAGGGATGAAAGGAGAATGGAGGGGGCCGGTGCGTGGTGTAGCAGGTAAAGCCACCACCTGCAGTGCCAGCATCCCATATGGGCACTGGTTCGAGTTCCAGCTGCTCCACTATCCAATCCAGCTCGCTGTTATGGCCTGGAAAAGCAGTGGAAGATGGCCCAAGTCTTTGGACCCCTGCACCAATGTGGGAGACCGGAAAGAAGTTCCTGGCTCCTGGCTTCGGATTGGTGCAGCTCCGGCCATTGCAGCCAATTGGGAAGTGAACCAGCAGATGGAAGACCTCTCTTTCTCTCTCTCTGTCTCTCTTCTCTCTGTGTAACTCTGACTTTTAAATGAATAAATCTGTGAAAAAAAAAGAAAGGATAATGGAGGAGAAAGAAATACTGAGGTATAAATCTTATAAAATATATATAGCTTCTATATGCTGAGAACTTTAAAACTCTGAAGAACATCAATAAAGACTTTAAAAATGCAGATACATATAATATACATGGAGTGGAAGTCTCAACATAGTAAAAAAGGTCAATTTTATCCAAATTAATCTATAGATTTAACATAATTCAAAAGCAGTTTGAGAAATTATATAGTTTTTTTTAAAAGATTTATTTTATTTATTTGAAAGACAGAGTTACAGAGAGAGGTAGAGACAGAGAGAGAGGTCTTCCATTCCGCTGGTTCACTCTCCAGATGGTTGCAACAGCCAGAGCTGCGCTGATCTGAAGTCAGGAGCCAGGAGCTTCTTCTGGGTCTCCCACATGGGTGCAGGGGCCCAAAGACTTGGGCCATCTTCTACCGCTATCCCAGGCCATAGCAGAGAGCTGGATCGGAAGTAGAACTGCTGGGATTAGAACCAGCACCCATATGGCATGCCAGCACTTCAGGCCAGGGCTTTAACCTGCTGAGCCACAGTGCTGGCCCCAAGAAATTATATAGTTTTAATACTTGCTACAAAGCTACACAAATCAAGATAATGTGGCATTGGTGAAAAGACAGACAACAAATCAAGGGACCAAACTAGGGAGCATAGAACTAGACTACACAAATATAACCATTGATTAAAACAGAGGCTCAAAGGCAATCCAATGGAGAAGATGTTATCTTTTTCAACAAAGTATTGGAACAACTGGCCAGCCAAAAAAACTGAAACTCAATCTTCACACCTATACAAAAATTAACCAGCTGGGTCATAGATGTGAAACACAAAAGTTTTGCAGGGAAATCTAGGAGAATTTCTTCACCAACCAGCGCTGGGTAAAGAGTTCTTAGACACGATACCAAAAGCATGATCCACAACAGAAAATACTGATAAATTAAATTTCATCAAAATTTGATGAAACTTTTGCTCTGATAAAGATCACTAAGAAAATGTAAGTACATACCACATACTGGAAGAAAATATTTGTCAATCACATATCACAAGTCTTATATGCAGGTGGTATAAAGAGCTCTCTCTTTCAAAAAACAATGCAATTTGAAAATGGGCAAATGACATGAACAGACACTTCATCCTTTGGGACCTTTAGAGGGAAAGTAAGTGCAAGAAAAAATGTTCCTCATCATCAACCAGTAGGAAGATAAAGTTGAAACCATGATGTGAGACTACTACACACGGAGTAAGTAAAAACAGATACTGACAACACCAAGTGTTGGTAAAGATAGGGAGCAACTCCAACTTTCATGCAGTGCTAGTGGGAATGCAACATGGCACAACCGCTCTAGAGATACCGCAGTTTCTTGCCTCATGACTCAGCAATCCCACTCCTAGGTATTTACCCCAGAGAAATAACAACTCTCATTTCTAGCACCTGGATCCAAAATCTCCACAAACTGGAAACCACTGAAATGTCCATCAAAGGATAAATCAATAACAAAGTGTGATACGCTTATACAGTGGAATTTTACTTGGCAATAAAGACTGAGCTACAGATACGTGCAACAGACTGGGTGATTCTTCTTGGCATTGCCAAAGGAAGCACACCCTCTCAAAAGAAAATGCACTATCCCACTTATATGACATTTTTGAGTAGACAGAAGGGTCCCAAGGGGGAGCAGATCAGCCAAGGTTGCAGGTGTGAGTGCAAAGCACTTGTTTGGGTGATGGAATTGTTCTGTATTCTGACTGTAGAGGCAGTGACAGACACCTACCCATAGGTGAGAATTCATAGAAATGGACACAAAATTAATTTAAAAATAAAACAGAGTCTTTAATAATAGACTAACAATAGACACTCTTCTGAAATAATTTCTGCAAGCCCTAAGAATCAGATTGGATTCAAATAAATGCTGAAGATTTTTGTAGTCATGGCTCAGATTTTTCTCATGCCAGTCCCTTGGAAAATCCTGAGAGGATCATTTAAATTTAATTGATTGCTTACAATACCACAGGGTTGCAGCAAAACTCAAAAAACTCTTAGAGAATGGGTGGGTCATAGGATAGTAGAAAGGCCAGCAGTGCGTGTTTTGTTTATCACTGAAGCAGTCATTTTCCCTCATGTGTGAGACAAGGAGGTAGAAAGACGTTGCACAAGGTGCCATTCTAACAGTATTTAAAAAAAAAACCCACAGTTTAGATAGAAACCATTTTTGACCACAGTGGTGAAGCCCATGAGAGACCAAAACCTTCTATTTTTCTGCTCCTTCATCCTTAGTACACAGCCTACATCCGCAGGGACAGCAGGGGGCCTACACCATGATGGCGTCCATCTTCCCAGCAAAGATGAAGGGGTGGCTTTACAACAACATGCAGCTTCCAGGTGAGAAAACTCCTTAAGGAGCCCTCTTAAGTGTTCCATATATACTCCCTCCCTCCCGCTGGTCAGAGCTTAGCCACTTGGTCACACTAACTCAAAGGGAGGCTGGAAATGCAGTCTTTTAATTGGGTTCTGTGGGGAGCAACTTGGACTAGACTAAGTTACTGGAATTAAGACTTATTCTGTGCATCTGCTTTCCCACAATATGGCGCTGAGAAGGGAAACAGCTTCTACACAGCTGCCTCCAGTTCAACCAATAAACTGTAGGACCTACTCCTGATTGGAGGAGAGCAGCATACTCGGCATGTGGGTAGCAGAGTTGGGATTGGTGGAAGAGGACTATAAAGGAGGAGAGAGACAACATGCACCAGGAACATCTAAGGGGAACATCTATCTGAAGGAACACCTGTGCAGCCCCCGAGAGAGCCGGCCGGCGGTGTGCCGCTCCCCTGCGGAAGTGGGGAAAGTGGCCAGGGGGAACCGCCCTTCCACGGAGGTGGAAGGGTCGATAGCCAACCCGGGAAGAACCAGCAGCAAACCTGGGGAGGGCCGAGCAGACAAAAGAACAGCGCAGGGTCCTGTGTCGTTCCTCCACGAAGAGGGGGAGTGACATAATGGTGCTGTGACTCGGATATGAAGCCTAGGCAGGGTTTAGTGTCGTTCCTCCACGAAGAGGGGGAGCAACATAATGGTGCCGTGACTCGGATAGGAAACTTAGGAGGGAAGAAACGGGAAGAAGCAGGAAAATACCGGAGAGAGAGAGACTAGAAGAGCCTAGGGGAAAGCCAGATGGAAAAGGTGCCGGAAGAAGCTATTGAAAGCCTAGGCATAGACTCGGATACGGACTGTGGGAAAGAAGTTAGGATTTAAAGTGAAAGCAAGAAGAAACTTAGACTCAGATACGGACTGCAGGTTGAAAGTGAAAGTGAAACCTATAAGAAACTTAGACTTGGATACGGACTGTGGGGAGAGGCCAGGAGAAATGAGGGAGGAATATTGTTGGAAGAAAACTTAGGGAAACATACCGGGTAGAGAAAAATGTTAGGGAGGATGAAGCCACGAGTGCAGGCTGAAGCGGAGACGTAAGCTATCTTGGTATTCTTTAAGTCAGCCCGGGGAGCAAAAGGCGAAAAGTTAAACCAGAGGCGGAAACGTGGGCCAGGTTGGAATCCGTTAGATTAGCCCGGGGAGCAAAAGATGGGAAGCCAAACCATAAGGCGGAGACGCGTAAGCCAGGTTGGAATTCGCCAGGTTAGTCCGGGGAACTTAGATTGAATACCAGTGGCGGAAACGTGAGCTGGGGCTGTGTGACTCGTGGAAGCCGCTGCGTGCAGAGAGAGCACGGGGCGTGAATAGATAGGGAATGCGGGGCTGGCGCGAGGCCGTGGTGTGGACGCGAAGGGCGTGGAGACCACGGAGTGTGCGCGCGAAGCCGAGCCGCGCAGAGCCGGGAGCCCGCCGAAGGGAGGGCGCCGGGAAGCCGCGCAGATGAGAGAAGCGCGGGCTGAAGCGGCTCAGAGCCGGGAAGCCGCCGAGAAGCAGCCTCGGGGCGGGCGCCGGGATGCCGCAGGGATAAGAGAAACAGAAGTTTAGAAGTAAAATGAGAGAAATAGGAATGCTGGTAGATAGAAGTAAAACAGGAGAGATAGGAATGCCTGGAGATAGAGAAATAGAGAAAAATAAGGCCTCCCCTCAACATGGCAATGAGAGAGCTTGGATTCGGTCTGCCTGATTAGGGAGGTGGTGAGCACCTGCGGGCGGCTAGCAGCTTATGCGCTGCAGGTCACCGAAGACAGGCACGAATTAACATCAGTAAGTCTCCCCACAATACCGCAATGAGAAGGCTTGGATTCGGTCTGCCTGATTAGTAAGGCGGTAAGCACCAGCAGGCAGCTCGACCAGAGTATGAGCTGCAGGTCACCGAAGATAGGCACGAATCAACACCAATAAGTCTCCCCACAATATGGCAATGAGAGGGCTTGAATTCGGTTTGCCTGATAGGGCTTGTAAGTACCTGCAGGCAGTTCTAGCAGAGCAGAGCATGCGCTGCAGGGCACTGAACACAGGCACGCATCAGCGCCTAAAAACCTCCTCACAACATGGCGAAGAGAGGACCCGGATTTGGTTTGCCTGATTGATAGGACTTATAAGCACCTGTGGGCAACTCTAGCAAGCAGAGCAGAGTGTGTGCCGCGGGGCACCAAAGACAGGCGCGTATCAACGCCAAAAATAAAAAGAAAGGGGGATCTGTGGGGAGCAACTCGGACTAGACTAAGTTACTGGAATTAAGACTTATTCTATGCATCTGCTTTCCCACAATATGGCGCTGAGAAGGGAAACAGCTTCTACACAGCTGCCTCCAGTTCAACCAATAAACTGTAGGACCTACTCCTGATTGGAGGAGAGCAGCGTACTCGGCGTGTGGGTAGCAGAGTTGGGATTGGTGGAAGAGGACTATAAAGGAGGAGAGAGACAACATGCACCAGGAACATCTAAGGGGAACATCTATCTGAAGGAACACCTGTGCAGCCCCCGAGAGAGCCGGCCGGCGGTGTGCCGCTCCCCTGCGGAAGTGGGGAAAGTGGCCAGGGGGAACCACCCTTCCACGGAGGTGGAAGGGTCGATAGCCAACCCGGGAAGAACCAGCAGCAAACCCGGGAAGGGCCGAGCAGACAAAAGAACAGCGCAGAGTCCTGTGTCGTTCCTCCACGAAGAGGGGGAGCAACAGGTTCATTGTGGCCAAGGATAACAAATAAAGGTTTTGTTACTAAGGAAAGGAAATGGATGTTGGGTACTCTTAGTAGTCTCTGCTTGAGTGTGGCATTGCTGGGGGAGAGCATTAACTTGGCATCATGAATGAGGTTGGGCAAAAAGGGCATTTGCACCAGCCCAGGGGAGAGGTCATCTCTCAGGGGATTGCCTGGTTGAACCAGCTGTGGACAGCAGTTCACCATCAGTCAAAATCCCTTACCAGGAGAACTGGCAGTCTGACCATGGGAAGATACTATCCAATTTGCCAGGATCTTAGAATAGGAACTGACAAGACTCTGCTTGATATTATCATGGTAGATGCAAGTCTACACAACTGTCCAAGGCCACAGCTTGCACAACACCAAGAGTGCAGCTAATGTAAACCATGGGCCTGGAGTGACGATGGTGCGTCTCTGTGGATCCAGCCGTTGGAACACATGCACTGTGCTGTAGGGCATGGCGGTCATGGGGAAGACTTTGCAGGAGAAGGGGCAAAGGGTATATAGGCAAGCTCTCTACCTTCCTCTCAGTTTTGCCATGAACCCAAAACTTCTCCAGAATGCATTAAATCATTTTAAAGAATTTTCTGTTCCTAGAAGTTCCCAAGTCACAGCTCTGTATTAGCTAGGTCTTGAGTACAGGAACAATGTGGTGATGCCACCCTCTCAGATGGAGTAGGACTGTCCAGTGGTTCCTGCTGAAGGTTGGCGCGTTAAGGGTCTGTACTCATGGTGGGGAGCATAAGACTCCAGTGGTCCCGCCCTGACCCCCTTCTGTAAGCCAGGCGCTTCTCTCCCATGGCCCCTCCACTGTGATGAGGTCACTGGCCTTGGGCAAGGTGGGACACAGGCAAAGCCTCTCCAACTTCCCGTTTCATCACCGTCCCTTGTTCCCTGCGGGAGCTCCCTCCCTGGCAGCCCAGCAATGCTGTGTCGTGGAAAACCAGTGCTTCTCAGCCTCTTGATCCTTCGCAGTCTCACCTCTTCCCAGTCAGGAGCTCCGGTCTAGACTCACCCACCACGTTGCTGGGATGGCCCCCAGGAGGTTACCAGTGAAATATGAACACGTATCTGGCATTTGAGGAGCCAGAGAAGCCTGAATTTGGGAGTTTAATGCAGTACACTACAGGATGGTGGTAATAACTCAACACGCAGAATTCAGCTGTCAGAGGCTTGGCCAGTTTCTGCCGCAGTCACTGGGAATTTCCCACCCCGGCCCTCGCGCTCTCCCCACTTCAGGCTGCACCCCCAGACTTCCCAGGCACAGCGCCGGCCTGGCTCTGCCTCAGGACCTTCTCCCGGTGCTCATCTGGCACCAAGGAGCTGGTGCACCCAGGAGCAGCCTTCAGCCAATGACTTCCAGGAACGTGCAAACACTGCGGGAGCTCTGAGTCTTGCTGCGGGACCCCAGCTCCCATCTCCTCAGCAGGAGTAAGCGCCAGGCACCCAGAGGTGGCTGTGGGGACAGCACAGTCTCAGCTCCCCACTGCTGTCCCTTCACCCCCACCTCTCATAGGAATTGTTCACCTAGCTATCCTCGTCCTAGCGTCTGCTCGGGGGGTGATCCTGAACTAAGCCAAGACCCCAATCAAGAACACTATGAGAAACCACCGAAATACACAGACGAAAGAGCCAACAGCACGCCTGGGACTTCTTTTTCTTTTCGGAGGACTGCTGAGTTTCAAACCAACGACCTAGCCACTGTTGCCTCGTTCCCGCCAATTTTAACCGACCCGGACCTCGACTTCCTGAACCCAGAATAGGGCAGAAGCAAAAAATTAGAAGTGGCCAAAGATGAAGTCCTTTGATGAATTAAATTTAGTGGCAGTTATGAGCATTTGAGCAAAGCAAAATGAAAACAACTCACGGATAAGGAAGCTCCCGGACCCAGAGAGGACTCGGGAGGATCTGATAGAATTTACAGGGAAACGGGGTGAAGCAGAGAGCGACTCCGTGGGCTGCAGCGCAGTCAATCAACTAGGGCCTTGGTTGCAGCCCAACTAGTTGTTTACAGCTTAATCAGTTAATTGGCTACAGGCCTTCTGCAATCCACCAGAACCCAGTTCCTGTGATTGTCCTCTACATCGGTGGGGTCTGTTGAGCCCAATGAATCTGCCCAGCTCCAAGCCACGACCTCTTACACCATTATTGAACAGTAAGGAGTGGTTTTATGCTGTAGAAAGATACAGAAAGAACTATAAAAATGGTTGCAAGGAAAGGGCAAACATATGACCAAAAAATCTAAAGCAGTTGTGCTCAGTACCCACCGCGACACAGACAGGGCCAGCAGGTGAACAAGGCGGGGCCCGGTGGATCCTCGTTTGTGCAGTTCCTACATCCTTGCTCTCGACCTGCTGGGGTGCTCCAGTCCCACGGACTGGCTGTTTCGTGCCATCCTGGGGTCGTTGCAGTAGGCTGCTCCGCGGTTTCTCGTGCTGCAGGCTCATCTCTCCTTAATTCAGCCTCACTGCTGTTGCCGGAAAGATCATTTTAAGATGCAAACTAATTCTGCTAACAATCTCTCAGTAGCAGGATTCCCAAACAGGAACTATCCCAAGATGTTCCAGAGGGTGCATGTCCTTCGAGTTTTTTCCCCCTAGGTCCTGTTTCAGTTTCTATTGTTCATCAGAATGTGAAATTTGGATGTCAGAATGACTTACATATTCCCACCTGTTCAAGCCAAAGCATTTGATCTGCCTTGGATGGGTGTGCACAGTGGTAAGTGAGATCAGACGGAAGAAGGCTCTCTTGAAGTGCCTAGCTGGTATATTAGGTGACCCCTGGTATGCACTGATGGGGTTTGAACTGTTAACCTATTTTAAATTGTTCTTATTTCTGGCAATATATTTAAAAACATATCCTCAGAATGGATTAGTGGCTAGAGAAGGGACACATTAAGATTCCACACTGAATGCCACAAGCTAATAAAAAAACATGAAATCCCAGGGTTGGCACTGTGGTGTAAAGCTACCACCTGTGATGCCAACATCCCATATGGACACAAGTTTGTGTCCCAGCTGCTCCACTTCTGGTCTAGCTCCCTGCTAATGCACCTGGGAAAAGCATAAGATGGCCCAAGTGTTTGGGCCCCTGCACCCATGTGGGAGATCTGGATGAAGCTCCTGGCTGCTGACTTCTTTGGCCTGGCCCAGCCATGGCTGGTGTGGCCATCTGGGGAGTGCACTAGTGCAAGGAAGACCTCTCTCTCTCTCTCTCTTCCCCTCTGTCTCTGTAACTCTAACTTTCAAATAAATAAATAGATCTTTAAAAAAAAAACAAAAAACAAAAACTCGCATGAAATCACTTGCTCTAAATTCTCTTGAAGCTCACTTAATGTGATCTACAAGTTAGCAGCATGCAATGAAACTTCACATGTAGCACTTCAAGAGATCTCTGATATTTCAAAAAGTAGCCACTGTGCTATGCAGGGGTGAGTCAGGTTTGCTGTGTGCAAGAACCTTCCATACCCACACTGTGTTCTCCACTGAGAAAGGGCACCCTGAGACTTTTTTTTTTTTTTAAGATTGTATGTATTTGAGAGGTAGAGTTATAGACACAGGGGGAAGAGACAGAGAGAGGTCTCCCATCTGTTGGTTCACTACCCAAATGGTAGCATTGGCCTGAGCTGCACTGATCTGAAGCCAGGAGCCAGGAGCTTCTTCCAGGTCTCCCATGCTGGTGCAGGGGCCCAAGCACTTGGGCCATCTTCAACTGATTTCCCAGGCCATAGCAGGGAGCTGGATCGGAAGTGGAGCAGCCGAGACTCGAACTAGCACTTATTTGGGATGTCAGTATCGCAGGCAGTGGTTTTACCTGCTTTGGCACAGTGCTGGTCCCTAAATAATATCTTAAAAAGTGAAGGTTTTAATGTAATTTGAAATCTATTAATCTAAAAATATTTTAACTCAAAACTATTTTATAATATACCACATATAAATGACATTAGGTTTATGTTTATTTGTACAATATACTAATCTAAAATTAAATCAAAATGATTTCTTTATCATATATCACATCTAATGAGATTAAATTTGTTTATTTAATGCAATATACTGATCTACAAACATTTAACTCAAAACTATCCTAGATCACATATATATGAGATTAGATTTTTGTTTGTTTATTTAAGAGGCAGAGATAGCATTCCTGTCCACTGGTTTACTCCAAGAATGCCTGCAATGGCTGAGGCTGGACCAAGGCCAAAGCCAAAGCTAAAGCTAGACCTGGGAACTCAATCCTGGTCTCCCCTGTGGGTGGCAGGAACCCAGCCATCACTGCTGCCTCCCAGGGTCTGCATTAGCAGGAAGCTGGAGCCAGGAATAGAACTCAGGTGCTCCAATGTGGGACGTGGGCACCTTAACTGCTAGGCTACCTGCCTGCCCCAGCGTTAGGTTTCTTAAGAACCTGAAGAGTGTCACGGGATTGTCTGTTATCTTCTGTGGAAGAAGTTCAAGAGTTCTGTGTGGGGTCTATGGGATGATACACCAGCGTTTCTGAGACCGCCCAGATTCCTGCTGTTCATCAACACACACGACCACTTGACTATCCTGAACTACTAGCGGTTCTCCTAGGCGTGACTCAGTGATTCTGGGGTCCTGAGCCTGCCCCTGTCTGCCTGGGATGGTCTCCCATCATCCCCACCTGTTTGCACTGAAGTAATTCTTACCTAACCCTTGACAGTGATTTCTAAGTCTCCCCCTTTCTGAAAGTCAGAGAGAGTTAGGTGTTACCTGTTGCATTCCCAAACCGTCTTTTTCACAATTGGTGAGGACATCAGGAAGCTTTGTACCTAACTCTAGTTCTCTGTCTCTCCCAATAGAACATGAATTCTTTGCCTTGGGGTTTTATCTCATTCCTATTTGTATCCCTTCAGTATAGTGCCTGGAGCAAAAATTGGCTCCCAATAAATGTTTAACTTGATGCTCGTTAAAATGATCTCTATTGAGACCAGGTTTCATTATACCCATATGTTCTGTTTGAAACGTCAAAAATGGGGCCAGTGCTGTGGCATAGTGGGTAAAACCGCCACCTGTAGTGCTGGCATCCCATATGGGTGCCACTTTGAGACCCACCTGCTCCACTTCCGATCCAGCTCTCTGCTATGGCCTGGGAAAGCAGTAGAAGATGGCTCAAGTCCTTGGGCCCTGCACTAGTGTGGGAGACTTGCAGGAAGCTTCTGGCTTCAGATTGGCTAGGCTTCAGCTGTTGCGGCCATCTGGGGAGTGAACCAGCGGATGGAAGACCTCTCTCTCTCACTCTCGCTCTCGCTCTCACTCTCACTCTCTGCCTCTCCTTCTCTCTCTGTGTAACTGACTTTCAAGTAAATAAATAAATCTTTTTTAAAAAATAAAATGCCAAAAGTATGAAATATATTTTGAAAAAAGATTTCCATCTCCAATGACTAAAATAAAAGCAATAGTGTTGATGCTTACAAGGATGTGTGCAAGTCTACACAGCTGTTCTGCAGAAAGGCATCGCTAGGGGCACCTGCAGAGAGAGGCTGGCCGGGCTGGACTTTGCTGTCCTCCCTGAACGCAACTGCACCCACTCGATGGATGGGACCCAGGTTGGCCCTTCCAGCCCCAGTGCTGACTTCTGCTTCCTCTCAGAGAGGACCTGGGGCTGGAGTTAAGGAGAACAAGGCCGGAAAGGACAAAGGAGCCAGACTGTTGCCATAAGATACTTTTTTTAGTGCTTTGCCAGGCAAGAGATCCTTGGAGAAATGACTTGATGGATGTGAACCAGAGAGGTCACATTGAATTTTCCTTCTGGAAATCCTAAGAAAAGCTGAGGGAAAACAACACTTCACTCTCTCTTTGCAGCGTGAAAATGAAATGGAGCGAATGCTGCAAGCTTCCTTCTTCCTAATGACTCAGGACTGGGTGGGTGCTCTGACAGACAGAGAGGGAGAGAGAAAGAGAGAATCTTCCATCTACTGTTTCACTCTCTAAATGACCACAACGGCTAGGGCTATGCCAGGCCAAAGCCAGAGACAGGAACTCCAGCTGAGTCTCTCCATGGGTGCAGGAGCCCAAGCACTTGGGCCATCTTCCACTGCTTTCCCAGGTGCATTAGCAAGGAGTTAGACTGGAAGCATCTCTCTGACACGAGATGCTGGTGTTGACCTACTCACCCTGTAGGCATCCTCTTTTAATACCAGGGTGCTTCAGAAAAATTAATAGAAAATGGAATTAAAAATAAATTTATTTTGCTGCAAAAGTTGAAATTCATAATTTTTTTCATAATAAAGATTTTCCATGAATTTTTGGAGACTCCTTGTATGTACGGATTTCAAAATATTTTTGCAACCAAATATTTTTTTCTTTCTGTTTTCTTTTTAAAAATATTTATTTATTTGAAAGAGTTACACAGAGAGAGGAGAGAAAGAGGGCTTCCACCCACTGGTTCATTCCCCAAGAGGCCACAATGGCTGGATCTGCGCCGATCCAAAGCCAGGAGCTTCCTCCGGGTCTCCCATGCGGATGCAGGGGCCCAAGGACTTGGGCCAAGTTCCACTGCTTTCCCAAGCCATAGCAGAGAGCTGGATCGGAAGTGGAGCAGCGGGGTCTCGAACCGGCGCTTCTATGGGATGCCAGCGCTTCAGACCAGGGCGTTAAC